AAAACCAACATTGGTGTCGTAGTCAAATGTGTCTTGAGCTTATGAAAACTTGCCTCACACTCATCCGACCACCTGAACTGGGTACCCTTTTGGGTCAACCTGGTTATCGGGGCTGCAATAGATGAAAACCCCTCCACAAACCGATGGTAATAACCTGCCAAACCCAAGAAACTCTGGATCTCTATAGTTGATGTGGGTCTAGGCCAGTCCTTGACTGCCGCAATCTTCTTAGGATCCATCTGAATACCCTCTATTGATACAATATGACCCAAGAATGCAACCGAACTCAACCAAAACTCATACTTCAAAAACTTAGCATACAACTAACTATCCCTCAGAGTTGAAGAATGACTCGAAGATGCTGCTCGTGCTCCTCCCGGTTGAGGGAATAAATCAAAATGTCATCAATGAAGACAATCACGAAGGAATCCAAATAAGGCTTAAACACTCGGTTCATTAAATCCATGAAAGCTGCTGGGGCATTTGTCACCCCGAATGTCATCACTAAGAACTCATAATGCCCGTACCGAGTGCGAAAAGCTGTATTAGGGACATCGGATGCCCTAATACTCAACTGATGGTAGCCAGATCTCAAATCAATCTTCGAAAATACCTTGGCACCCTGAAGCTGATCAAACAAATTATCAATCATCGATAATGGATACTTGTTCTTGATGGTGACTTTGTTCAACTGCCGATAATCTATACACATCCTCATCAACCCATCCTTCTTCTTAACAAACAACACCGGCGCACCCCAAGGCGAGACACTCGGTATAATAAAGCCTTTATCCAGCAAGTCCTATAACTGTTCTTTTAATTCTTTCAACTCTGGTGGGGTTATACGATATGGCAGAATAGAAATGGGCTGAGTTCTCGGAGCCAAATCAATGCAAAAGTCAATGTCCCTGTCGGGTGGCATCCCCGGCAGGTCTGAAGGAAAAACCTCTGGAAACTCACGAACAACGGTTACAGAATCCATAGAAGGAACCTCAGCACTAGAATCACGAACATACGCCAAATAGGCCAAACATCCCTTATCAACCATACGCCGAGACTTCATATATGAGATAACACTGCTGGTAAAATAACCATGAGTCCCTCTCCACTCCAAACGAGGAAACCCCGGTAGCGCTAAGGTCACGGTCTTGGCATGACAATCTAATATAACATGATAAGGGGATAACCAATCCATCTCCAGAATGACATCGAAATCTACCATATCGAAAAGTTGATGATCTACATGGGTCTCGAGACCCCCAATAATGACCATGCAAGCACGATAAATACGATATACCACAATAGAATCACCCGCCGGTGTAGACACATATACAGCAGCACTCAAAGAATCACGAGGCACAACCAGATAAAGGGCAAAATAAGATGATACATAAGAATATGTGGACCCTGGATCAAATAGAACTGAGCCATCTCTACTGCACACTGAAAACGTACCTATGATAACTGCATCGGAGGCCTCAGCCTCAGGTCTGCCTGGCATAGCATAAAAATAGGGCTGGGCCCCACCACTATGAACTGCATCCCTATGACGGCCTCCTGCCAGCTGGCCTCCACCTCTAGTTGTCTGGCCTCCACCTCTAACACCTCTACCCCTACCTCTAGCTGGCTAAGCGGGCGGTGGAACCATAGCATGAGAACCCTGGTGCTGAGAACTGCTCGAGGCTCAAGGGCAAAACCTAGCAATGTGCCTCGTATTCGCCGCAAGTATAGCAAGACTTCGGCTGCTGAGAATGTTGACCCTGAAACTGACCCTGACGGCCTGGATAACTACCCTAAAAACTGTGGAGCGGAGGTACACTGATAGGAGCTGGTGGTGCACTGTAGGGCAACTGATCAGAATACTGCATATGAGAACCACGACCACCTAGAGCACCGTAAGAAACCTGAAGTGCTGACTGAAATGGCCTAGGAGGATGACCTCTACCAAAAGAATCCCTGCCTCCAGATGAGGCACCACTGAATTTACCAGAATAACGAGGCCTCTTATCGGACCCCTGACCGCTCCCTTGAGCCAAAACCATCTCAACTCGCCTGGCCACATTGGCCGCATCCTGGAAAGATATCTCGCTACCTGTCTCCTTAACCATATGCAATCTAATAGGCTGAGCGAGTCCCTCAATAAACCTCATCACCCTCTCTCTCTCTCAGTGGGGAGTATCAAAAGAGCATGACGATCCAAATTAATAAACCTCGTCTCGTACTAGGTGACAGTCATAGAACCCTGCTGGAGATGCTCGAACCGCCTGCGGTACTCCTCTCTCTGAGTGACGGGAAGAGACTTCTCGAGAAATAGCTGCAAGAACTGGTCCCGAGTGAGAGCTGGTGATCCAGCTGGTCTGGCCAAACAATAATCTCTCCACCATTTCTTGGCGGAACCTAACAGACGGAAAGCAGCAAAGTCGACCCCATTGGTCTCAATTATCCCTATGTTCTGAAGAACCTTATGACAGTTGTCTAAGTAATCCTAGGGATCCTATGAAGATGTACCACCATAAGTAGTAGTGAACAGCTTGGTGAACCTGTCCAATCTCCACAAAGCATCGGCAGACATAGCTGCTCCATCACCGGTCTGAGCTACTACACCCGGCTGAACTGCTCCAACTGGCTGAGCTACTGGAGTCTGAAACTGGGGAGCCATCTGCTCCAGAGTGCAGGTAGCGAGAGTCTGTGCTCCTCCCCCAGCCTAAGAGACGGTTGGTGCTACAAGAAGTAAGCATGCCTGGGTGACACTCTCCATAAGGTCCACTAGACAAATCAGAGCATCCTGGAGTACTGGGGTAGCAATGAACCCCTCTAGGACCTGAGCTGGGCCCACCGGAACTGTCTGGGTCGGAACCTCATCATCAAACTCTACCTGAGGCTCCGCCGCTGGTGCTGTTGCTCTGGGCTGAGCTCTGCCCTTGCCTCGGCCCCTAGCACGGCCTCGGCCTCATCCTTTGCCCCTCGTGGGAGCTGCTGCTGGGGCTCGGGATGCTGATCAGCGGATGAAGAAGCACGTGTTCTCGCCATCTGCGAAGAACAGAGTAGAAGTTCAATTAGCATTGAGAAACCAAATCGCACGATAGAGAAGAATAGAAGTGAAACTGTTCCTAACTTTGTAGCCTCTAGGGGATAAGCACAGACGTCTCCGTACCGATCCCTCAGACTCTACCAAGCTTATCCATGAATTGTGAGACCTACGCAACCTAGAGCTCTGATACCAACTTGTCACGACCCGGATTTTTCACCCTCGGGAGTCGTGACGGCGCCTACTCGAGAAAGCTAGGCAAGCCAACTATTCCTATTAATTTACCCTTTTCATTTTTAACCTTTTTACAATTGCAAGTTAACATATTATACACAACGGAAATAATAATGCAGAAGAACGAGATTGTGACACCAGTTCTGGGTAATTTATGTTTATGGATTCATATTGGTATTAGCTTAATTGTCAAATCTCTTTCTTCCACATTATTATTTCCGCTGTGTATAATATGTTAACTTGCAATTGTTAAAAGGTTAAAAATGAAAAGGGTAAATTAATCGAAATAGTTGGCTTGTTTAGCTTTCTCGAGTATGCGCCATCACAACTCCCAAGGGTGGAAAATCCGAGTCGTGACATTAACACCCCTTAATAAAAATCCTAGCTCCGCCATCGAGCTCAACTTGAGGTTAATTTTAAATTGTAGTTAAAAGCTGATGGGCAAAACTTGGACCTTCCCTTAATGCATAGCATTATAGCGATATGGTTCTTTCTTAAGGGGTAGCCCTGCACATTCAACTAGAGGCTTACTGACTTATCCTGGTCCATGATTTGTTTGCATCGAGTCGTTGACTTTAGTCCTGCAAAATTCACATGTCTATGGTTGAGATCTCACAGAACCTGTACTTGGCCATCAATCTTTCTCAGGTTTGGTTTCAATCGTCATGCACAAGCATTGTAAAGGTGAGGAAAGGAGAAGGTTGAAGGTCTCTCCACTCTCCCGATATACAAATCCCACGAGGAAACCCGAGATGCTGAAATAGTTTCAGTTTATAATTGATTCTGTGCTGAAGTAGTTTCAGTTTATATTCTTTGCTTATTTTATTAAACTTCATAATATAGTAGTTTTAATGATACAATTGCTTTTAGGAAAGGTATCCCCCTATTTTGTATTTACCAAGTATCTGTACTGACTGAACGCATACATGATACATTATAATTCGCAGGATTGTCTGCTGCTTTCTACTATTGTTACTCAGATGTGTAATTCATTTTCTTTCTCCAGATAACTGTTTATCATTCCATTTTCATAGAAACAAGGCAACCCTTTCTCCCATCTGTCACTCTAATAATCTCTCCATTGCAAGTGCTCCATGAAACTCGTAAGGCACTTAAGAAGTTTGAAGGAAAGAAAAAATATGATAGTCTAACGTGGAGATCAACAATTTCAGGTAAAATACCGTCTCTATTTTGGCTTTTGTCAAACTCAACACATTAATACAACTTGAGGCTAGATCAAGGTGACAAAATGGTTAAATTAATAATTATTCATTCATATTATCCATAAAAAAATGGGTTGCATAGTGAACCATTTAAAAACGGGTCGAATATGGATAAAGAGAACCATATTATCCACTTAGAAAATGGTTAACCAAATGGATAACTAATGTGTTCTAACTTTTACATTTGTAAAGCCTCAAATTGGAGTTCCTCAAGTTTGGAAGACTATTAGTTCTCTCATAAGTGACTATATTTAAGAAGCCATGGATAATATGGATATCCATATTATCCGCCGGATAAAGCCGTTTTTATCCGTCTCAAATATGGGTCGGTCGGATAATTTATCCGTTTTGACCCGCTCATATCCGTCCCGACCCACCCGTTTGCCACCCCTACTTGAGGCTAAGGCTGCCACTGAGATACCTTTTGGTTACAAGCCCATCGGCAATAGGCAATGTGAGCAAGCAGTGAATTCAGTCATTCAATCAAACCTTGTAAAAGAATTCACAGGAGCTTATGCACCATTGGCGAAAGGACTACCCTTTATTTGGTACCAATCTTTATTCTTTACATGTGACTAACATCATTCTACCGATGCCATTATAGAACCTATACTTGCAGGATCAGACTTCATGCAGCTAGACTAACAAGATCAACCAGAGTGATATCAGTTTAACCATATTCATGGACATTACATCTATACCTTCTCATATCAGAGGAAAGTGACAGTCTACTGNCTGTTTATGTGTATACCGAGTATGTACATCTGGCTAGAAGCCAACAAAAGCCATTTTCATTGATCCTAGTACTTCAGGCGTTTCTTCTTTTCAGGAGTTGCATGTACTTGTTTTCTTCCCATAAGTCTTCATCTGAAAATTCTCGAATGCTTCAGAAACAGCTTCTACCTGTAAGATGTTACCAACATTACAAAAGCATATACAGTACTCAGTATAATTTTTTTTTACTTTTAAATGTGATTCTTTTCCCACTTCTAAGGGAAATGGAGGTTTGAAGTGTGCTTGTCTGCTTGAGACAGAGAAGCAGGTAGTAGAAAGTAAAATAGGCACAAAGTAAAAGGAATGTGGGTTGTATCTCACTGACCAGTTCAGATTTCCTGGTATAAACTCTAACAATCATATCCTGGTAACATGCAGGCAACAAGTGACTGATGCGGTCATCCTTTATAGGGAATTTCTCAAAGCTATC